TTTTATATATTTATTGTTTTAATAGCATGTTGTATGTAGTTGTTACTTTAAGACATTATTAATAGTGTTTTAAAACCCTGTACTTTGTTTTAATTTGGATTATAAACTACATTGGGTCCTATGCCATAAGAAAAGTGGAATATACATTAAAAATTCAAATTAAATGAAATAGAGCAAGGCATGGATGTGGCATATATTTCAGCTGGGAAGTTGCATTGCAGTTCAGAGATGTTATGGAAGAAAATATTTCATTGGTAGCCTAGGCCACAAGCAAAAGTGTGGAGCTGTTAATACAGCTTATGTTATCCCAAAGGACTGTGTACTGACCATGAGTGAGACTTAAGGGAAACAGAATTGGAAGCTGCCCAAATTCCTGTTACAAGAGAGGTATTTCAAAGGTATTTCAGCCTTTTAGAAAGAGGGAAAAATAGCTACAAAAACTATAGTATTATGAGGAGAGGAAATCTGGGGAAGGGCAGAGAGACTCTCAAACAGCGGGGTTTTTTACCCCATTACTATGAGGTTGGATCTACACTGCCCTATATCCCGGGATCTAATCCCAGATTATGTGTGTTGAACTGGATTATATGAATCTATACTGCCAGATAATTTGGGAAATGCCAAAAATCTGGTATCAGATCCTGGGATATGGGGCAGTGTATTTCCAGACTGACCATCCAAACTGTGTTCCAAAACATCCAAAGAAGGAGACTTCGAGGCAGTATATTCCACTGCTGAATCATTCTTACCGCCAGGAAGTTTTTCCTTACGTCAAAATGGAATCTCTTTTCCTGGAATTTGAATCCATTGCTCCATATCTTCACTTCACTTCACTTTATTTCTTAATTAGTTGCTCTCCACCAAGGTGCTCCGAGCGACTTACAGTCTAAAATAGCATTTACACAATAAAAAAACATTCAACATAAAAACATTCAACAGTGACTATTTGGCAAATTAGATCTGATTACTTAAATGCACAACCAAACAGCCAAGTCTTGAGTGCCTTTACAAAAGGTCGCAACTCCGACATTGCTCTAATGTATGGAGGCAACGAGTTCCACAGAATTGGAGCATAGGTCGAAAAGCTCTACGCCTTGTAGCTTCCAAGTGTACCTCCCTAGGGCCCGGTATGTATAGGAGATTTTCCTGGGTGGATCGAGGTGACCACTGATGGAGAAAAGGAATGAGGCGGTCCCTAAGATATAGAGATCCTTGGCTATTTTGAGCTCTAAATGTCAGGATCAGTATCTTGTAAGAGATCCAATGTTCTATTCATAGCGAATGCAGTTGTTGCAGAATCAGTGTAATATGGGATCTTATAGATGATCCCTCTAGCAGTCTGGCAGCTGCATTTTGGACCATCCAAATCTTGTGGGTTGTTGACTTCGGAAGGCCGGCATATAAGGCGTTGCAGTAGTCTAACCTCGTGGTGACTGTTGCATGGATTACTGTTGCCAATGCTTCTACCGAAAGGTAGGATGCCAATTTCCTTGCCTGGCGAAGATGAAAAAAGGCCTGCTTACTTATGGCAGTGATCTGGGCCTCCATCGTCAGCAATGAGTCCAACACAACCCCAAGGCTTTTAACAGTGGCGGAACCAGAGCTTCCCCATCGAAATCAGGCAGAGACTGGATTAATTCTGGCGGCTGGCCAGGCCAGAGTATCTCAGTTTTAGCAGGATTCACTTTTAGTCTGCTCGCTCGCAGCCAACTCATCACTGCTTCCAAACACAGCCTAAAGTTCTCAGGAATCGCGGTTGTCCCAGGTTCGAGACGCAAGAGTAGCTGGGTATCATCTGCATACTGGTAGCACTCTATGCCAAAGCTCCGCACCAGTCCAGCAAGTGGCCGGACGTAGATGTTAAATAACAGGGGCGAGAGGATAGCACCCTGGGGAACTCCACAGCAAAGGCAGGAGCTCTCAGAGCTTTGGCCTAATCACTCCACCCTCTGTCTCCAGTCCCAGAGGAACTAATTGAACCATTTCAGGGCTAAACCTCGTACACCAGACATAGCCAATCGATGAATCAGCAAGTCATGGTCCACGGTGTCGAATGCAGCTGTGAGGTCCAGGAGTACCAATAGCGCTGATCCGCCTCAGTCTAACTGACGACGAATTTCATCAGTAATAGCTACCAAGACATCCTCTGTCCCATGACCTGAACGAAAGCCTGATTGAAAGGGGTCCAAACCTGCAGTCTTCATCTAAGAATTGCTGTAGCTGCCCTGCCACTGTCCGTTCAATCACCTTGCTCAAAATGGAAGGTTTGAAACTGGGTGATAGTTACTAGGTATGGCGGCGTCTAGGCTTGGTTTTTTCAAAAGAGGGTGGACCACTGCTTCTTTAAGGCAATCTGGAAAAATTCCTTGCTCCAAGGAGCTGTTAATCATGCTCCTTAAGGGATCTCGTAGTCCTTCCCAGCACCCCTTAACCAACCAGGAGGGGCAAGGGTCGAGGGAGCAGGTGGTTTGTCTTGCTGCAGCTAGAGTCTTTTCCAGGTCTTCCATTTCTAATGGCACAAAATGTTCTAGAAGTTGGCCACTAGATGGCCAGAAGGCCTCTAGTTCCCTCGATGTGTCCTCTGTGGGAGGTAGCCCTTCACGGAGCAGATTGATCTTATTTATAAAGTGGCTCTGGAAGTCTCTGCTGTAATATCTTGACTAGCCACATCTTTGGCCGGATGGGTTGGATTTGTGATGTTACGAACAATTTTAAATATTTGAGCAGGTCGAGATCTGGCGGATGCTATCAATGAGGAATTATATTCTTTTTTGGCCTCTCTGGTGGCTGCTTCGTAGATTTTTCAATGTATTTCAAAAGCCGACTTTGATGTTTCATCAGGTTTCTTGCACCAATTACGTTCTAATCTCTTCCGCTCAAGTTTCAACTGACGTAATGCATCTGTGAAGCACGGAGATCTATTCCAGCGAGGGCGAAGAGCCCATTTAGGGGCAACTATAAGGCAGTTGATATATTTTTGTTCCAGTTTTCCACTCGTTCACATAGAGAATCAGCGGTGTAATCCAGTTCTTTAAGGACACTCGAAAGTCTAGTAGGATCCATTAGCTTCCTCGGCCGCACAAAAAATTGTTCAGTCTCTGAACGCTGTGGAGGTGGAATCTCTATTTGAGTGTTCAAGATGTAGTGGTCAGACCAAGGAATCTCTAAGACTGAAGATAGAGTCACTTGTATTCCGATACTAAAAATCAAGTCCAAGGTGTGCCCAGCTCGATGAGTAGGACCGGTCACCATTAATGAGAAGCCTATTGTTTCCATAGATTGTACTAGGTCCCTTGCTATCGAAGAAGACAACAACCTATCTGCATGTACATTGAAGTCTCCCAATACGATGAGACTTGGGAACTTCAGGGCCCAGTCCGCCACAAGGTCTAATAACTTGGGGATGCTCTCATTCGGGGCCCCAGGGGCCCGATAAACTAAGAGGATAGTCACATTTTCCCTAGCAGCCAATGTCAAACCTATACAGTCGATACCCATAATATCTGAGGTAGGAATAGTTCTACTGGGGAAATGATCGCGGGCTACTGTTCCCACCCCCCACCCCTCGACCCCCCTTTCGAGATCTTTGAAGCATCTGGAAACCTGAAGGTGTTCGTTCATACGAGGGAATATTATCTCCTTCTTGTATCCAGGTTTCTGTAATGCATACTACATCTGTCTTCTGATCAACAATAAAGTCTCAAAGGGTCGCGGTTTTGTTCACCACTGACTTAGCGTTGATCAGTTGCAAGGTCATGGGGAATGAAGGAGAAGGGTTCTTGTTATCATATTTGGGAATATCACATAATACAGATGGAAGCCGAATCTGTCGCTGACTTTGTCTCTTTTTAGAGACCAGCACTCTATCGTTCTCCTATATCCCTCTCCCAATGATTACTGGGATTGTCCTCCCAGTACTGGGTTCATCTGTAATACCAATTAAGTGCCGGATGTTCGAAACACCTCCAGAAAAGGGAATGACGCAAGGCCCAAGAGGGTATGATTTTGGGCACCAACCTGTGGGCACAGCGGAGCTGGAGTAAATGCTAAGTCTCCTAAACATCGTTTAGGGTGTGCAGGTGTTCCGTTGCACTGAGGGGACAAGCCCCTAACTGCTGGGTTTTTAGAATGACCCTCCTCTGTGGCCCTATCTTCCCTGTTTGTGTTAATAGTAGCCCTAACTGGAGAGATATTCATCCTTTGTGTTGAAAATGACTTTGGCATTCTTGTCCCAGCCCCAAAACCAGCCCCCCAAAAGGTTCTGGTTTTGTAGCCTTTCTACTGGGCTCTGTGTTTTGATAGACTAGGGCTTGTAGCTCTTTCTGATACCTGTTCAGATCGTTGACTTCTGGGCATTTCTTTGTTCTGTATGTCGGCGGAAGTGTTCTCCACCTTCGCAGAAACCCTTCCAGACGCAATCTTACTCACTAGGGTATCCTGAGTTGGAGCTTCCCCCATATTTTTCTCAGGATCATGCTGGTACACTGTAGAATTAATGCACGTTAACATCACTTTAACTGCAAATGGTTGATAGTATGAAATCATGGGAGATGCAGTTTGGTTAAGCACCAGCCCTCTTTGGCAGAGAAAGCCCAAGACCTACAACCCTTATGATCCCATATCACTGAGCCATAGCAGTTCAAGTGGTGTCAAACTGCATCAGTTCTACAGTGTAGATCAGGCATGGACAAACTTCGTCCCTCCAGGTGTTTTGGACTTCAACTCCCACAATTCCTAACAGCCGGTTAGCTGGCTGGGATTTCTGGGAGTTGAAGTCCAAGACACCTGGAAGGTTGAAGTTTGTCCATGCCTCATATAGATGCACCCTTAGTATCTGGAGCAGCAGAAAACAAGCTAGCTTCTTCCTCAATTGTTTAATTGATGTGGGAAGCAGGCTGTTAAATTAATGCACTTTTAATGTGATACAATTGTGCTACTGTTGTGTTCTTATATCTTTTCTCCACTGTGTGTTAAGATTTTCTCCTGCCTTCCTCTTGCAGGATTAGAGCTTGCGCTTCACGAGAACTGAAACCAAAGCGGCTCCCAAATTGCCATCTTATTAAAGGGATCGGTAAGTCTTTTTCATGTCATGTTTGAACTGTTATCCTCAAATGTTATTGGATCATTTTTGTACACTCTCTAAAATAAATTCCACTCTGTTGATGTGAAAACTGCCAAGTTTCCCTCTGCTTCTTTTACTATCTAGGAACTATCTCTCTAACGTTTTTGATTGAGTTTTTTTTCCTTTGCAGAGAATGGTGCAGAAGATGTTGAAATACTTCCCAATGGCCTTGCTTTCATTAGTACAGTAAGTTTTCCCCCCACATTTGAAAAGTTGTGCTTGAGTTTATAGGGCACTAGAGGAATGACTGCAAATCGTGGTCTGCCTTCGGGTAATTTCCGATTTATGGAGACTCTGAGATGAACTTGACATGTGTTTTCTTGGCAAGATTTGTTCAGAGGGGGGTTACAGTTGCTTCCTCTTGGCTGAGGATGTTGAAATTCGTGCAGTGAGTTTCTGTGGCTGAACAGGGATTCAAACCCTGGTCTCCAGAGTTGTAGCTCTTTACTCAAACTGCTACATCATGCTGATTCTAAAGAATAGTTATCACTCTGTGTAATTTCAGTAAGTCAAATGCAGTGATAACTTGTTACTCTATCTGAGTCTACAAATATCACGTAATTATCTGTAATTTACATTATAATAGTTCAGCCATTATTTTATTATTTATCATGTCAGAAGCAAATTGAGAATACAGTTATAATGTACAGAAAAAAACACAAACAAAGTTAAAAACTTGGCATTATACTAAATTTCTTTTGACCAGAAGCAATACACATAGCAAATCTACAATACATAAAACACTGTTGTGGTTCAGCAGCAACAGCATGATGGGACTGAGGGTGCAGATGAGCATGATGGAAATGGGAATACAG